TAAGAGAGCTGGCCAGCACAAACAACACTCTCTGAGCGACTGCAGCTTTTAATTAGACCGCGCAGAAGCTGCAGTATTTACCAGGATTGATGAGTCCGTTGCTTGTTGTCTGTGTTTGAGAGGAGCCCGAGAAGGCTTGAAACGTTGATCAGCTCCGCAAGAACGAGAATGACAGCGACAGCAAGCTGTAGTATGCACCTGACTGAAGATAAACATGTGTGCACTGCATGACATCACTGTCTGAAGCGTGCATTCTGCGCTTGCATCATATCACTCACCTGAGAGCGTAAGGTGTGGCAGGAATGAAGCGCAGAGGAAGATGTGCACGCATTCAGAGTTCCACTGATCACACCATAAAATGTATCACTTTATTAGGTTAAAAACGGTCATTAAGACTCTAGGGGCAAATGGCTGACTTCCACTGGAGGTCAAAGTTCACCATTACTGTCGACCTCTGCGAGGTCATTTTCATCCTGCGTGGTTTGATTTGCATGTGGGACGAATCCAAAGCACAGCCACCTTCTGGAGCAATGGTAACGAATGTCTAACAAACCATTCTCACTTCCACCCCAGAAAATATGGAAAGCAATATAACATATATGGGCACTATAATGACTCTATAATTCCTAAAATATCAAGAATAACCAAAAGCCATATAAAAGTCCTGCAGATGTTTATGGATGTTAACAGCAGTCAAACCCAAACTCAGACCCACGGATTGTGTTTCTGGATGTCGGTAACAGCTCATAACCGCTGTGGAGCACATAAAACAACTCGTTTGACCAGTTTGACGCAGACCTTCTCTGCTAAAGCGTGGCCTTCATCCTCACAAAGTATGCCAGAATGTGTGAACCCTGTTATTGTCAAATATTTTCACACTGTGATGACAATGTTTAAATATAAATATGAAAAAAATTAAATGAACTTTTATTCTTCAATTTTTTATTTTTAACTTGTACTAAATGTGTCCCTGCAGCACAAAAGCAGTGTTAAGTCGCTGGGGTATATTTGTAGCAATAGCCAACAATACATTGTATGGGGCAAAATTATTGATTTTTCTTTTATGCCAAAAATCATTAGGATATTAAGTAAAGATCATGTTCCATGAAGATATTTTGTAAATTTCCTACCGTAAATATATCAAAACTTAATTTTTGATTAAGTTTTGATCTAATTAATCAATTCATCTAATGAATTCAAAAACCCTGTTTTTCTTAAAAATTGAAACGCACTGATTTCTAGTGTGCTATTATTGCGCATTTCCCATATTTGATGGCTTGGCTGTGTGCATTCATGACATTTGTGTTTTTGATTCATTAGGTTAATGTAAAATATCTTCCTTGCATTGCTAAGAACTTCATTTGAACAACTTTAAAGATGATTTTCTCAATATTTAGATTTTTTTGCACCCTCAGATTCCAGATTTTCAAATAGTTGTATCTCAGCCAAATATTGTCCTATCCTAACAAACCATACATCAGTGGAAAGAGTATTTATTGAAAATTGGGTCACAGGGTCACAAATTAATAAAACAATAATGAAACAAAACATCTAATAAAAAAATTTTCACTAAAACTACATAAAATGAACAAAAAATTATTTTACAAATAAATAAAACCTAAAATAACGCATATGTAAGTAGATGGAGTGATGCTCCTGTGTCCCATTGTTTGTTTGTTTGTTTGTTTAACGTCATTCCAGCTTCGAGAAATATTATGGCTGAATTATATCATGTTTTTATCATTAATTTTTGCTAAAACCTCCAAAACTGTATTTGGCTCAACTCTGTTAAAAATCTCTTCAAAAGAGTCAACTGAAAAAAAATGTTCTCAATGAGTTAAACCCAGCACAATCTAATAAAACATGTTAATTTCAGCATTTACTAATGCATTATCTCAAGTTGTGTTTGTTAACATTAGTTAATGCACTATGAACTAACATGAACTAACGACTGTATGTTTATTAACTAACGTTAACAAAGATGAATAAATAGTGTAATAAATGTATTGATCATGGTTTGTTCATGTCTACATTAACGCATGTTAACAAATGGCACCTTATTGTAAAGTGTTACCCAATCTGGTCCCTACCTGCGGAGGTGAGCGCTCTTACCTTCTCCTGCGTGCCGTTCTCGGGGTCAGCGGGCGGGGAGCAGGGGGGTCTGACCGCCTCCACCTTGATCAGCCGGTGCTTCGGAGACGCGTACTTGACCTCCGCCGCGGAGCTCGGTCCGGTGGAGAAGGGCACGGTTCCGCCCGGCGTGTACGGATCCTCGAAGTCCAGCTCCTTCTGGAGTTTGTAGGCGGTGAGGATGTCGGGCTGCGCGGACAGTAACCCGGTGCCCAGCGGCGTCTGGAGGCTGGAGACGGCGGTGTGGAAGTGTCGGTAGTCCGGTTTCGGAGGCGCCGGTGGCGGGGCTTTGGTGGTTTTGAAACCCAGGTGCTCCTTAAACCATCTGGCCATGCTGCCAGCGCATTGCTCACAACTCCGATACGAGATGTATCCGTACGAGTCCCCGTCCGACTGCTGTGTCTCCGGCTCCGGCGGCGTGAAGTGCCCGTTCCCCGACTCTAGCACTTTCTGTTTGGTGAAACTCTGCGCGAGACTCCTGCGCTCTCTCCGTGTGTGTGTGTGTGTGTGTGTGTGTGTGTGTGTGACAGCTGAGCGGCTGCTGGGATATATTGGGAATTTCTACCTGAGATACTCACTGCCATCTATCGGTGCACTCTGACACTGGAAACACATGAGAAAGCAAGGATTTTTCAGACACGTGTTGAATTTTGCGCGAAAATAAGTAGATCCCTATCATCTAACTCTGCACTCTTCCTGTTGGCCTTTCTGTAAAATATTGCTGTATTCATTTTTTTGTAAGAAATATTTTTTATATACAAATACAACTATACTACAATAAACACTTCAAATAAATAAATAACTGCAATCATATTGACGCTACTATCTGTAAAATGGGAAAATACATTACTGCAATTCTACTGTGGTACAGCTTTGCCATATGGAAACATTGATTTTTTTTTTCAATTTACAGTAAAACTATGTTAGATAAAGTTAAATTGTGAATAAAAAAATCCCCCTTGAGAAGATGTGTTTAGAAATGAGGTTAACAGAGCAATTTCTGCACTTCAACAGGTGTGTTCTGTGTGAGGATGACATTGGAGAAAAAGAGTTTGGACTAACATTTAAATATCATGTGACTTAAAAACAGCACATCATTGACTACCTTAAAGGGCTTGGACGCCCTGGGGGTAAGCAGATAAACATCACATTTTCATTTTTGGGTGAACTATCCCTTTAAGGCCTGCCCTTTTAATTCCCATAGTGCAATATTGTATTTTTTTATTTTTTTCCCAGAATAACAAGGAAATGAGTAGAAATTAATTGTTGCCATATGGCAACTCCGCACCAGAGGGTTAACTCGTGCATCGGAAAACTTTGCTGTGACAAACAGATGCTCGGGATAGTGCTGTGGCTGGTGTTTTGGCAGTAAAAAAAAAAAAAAAAAAGTCAAAAACACTTTTTCTTATAAATGGGAAATGCGCACTGATTTCTGGTGTTGTATTCGTGGTGCTATTATTGCGCATTTCTCACAGCCTATTTGATGACTTGGCTGTCTGCATTCATTACATTTTGCTGACTTCACCCTATTTTTGACCTAAAGTTATTTGCACTGCAGCAACCCGTGTTCAACAATTCATTCTGTATGTTGCATTATAGGTTCTTAAACATTGCCGGTCAAAGATTACCGTTTTTTTTTGTTTAGAAATTGCTTGTTAATCTCTCATTATGCTATATTATCAGCAAATATTGGATTTAATCTTTATCAAATTGTCTTTCAGTTAGCACAGGTTTTGATTGATCGTGGGTCTCATTGATCTGAACTCATGCATTTCAGCTTTTGAGTGGAAAAAAAATTTGTGGATAATATCAATATTCACTCAAAAACTGCTGCAAATGCTCAGATCAATGAGGCCTATGATCAATCAAAACCTGTGCTAATTGAAAGAAAACACTGATAAAGAGACCAAATCCAAGATTAAAAGATAAAGCATTTTCAGGCTATTTTTTGTAGGCCGGTCTTTTTTGTCTGGAAATGCATCAAGTGTAACAAAGTGGGGTCAAATAAAAAGGCAAAAAGGTACAAAAATTATTGGGAAGTTTTGATACACTGTGTGGGCAAAGTCAGTAGGTTTACTCCAATGCGAACATCAACTAGCACTTTCTGGAAGCAGAAAACCCTCTCCGGGTCAAAGTGACCAGAACACGAGTTAAAAACAGCTGAAATCTGGGTTACAGGCATTTGCAATGAAAGAGGCAGAAAAGATGAAAATATTCTAATGTGGCCTAACAAGATAAAAGCCTTGAATCTTGAAGAGTGTTGGTGAATAAAACATTCCAGAGTTCATTCTTCAGGTCAGTAGACACTTAAGACACCTGTAAGAGATTCACATTGTGTGCCAGCAGTCTGTCAGATGTGCAAATGAACACCTGGACAGCAGCGGAAACATCCTTTTGCATGACAAAAACCCAATGCTTTTACAAAAACAAACCCAATCCAAATGTGTGCGCATCAGTCTGTTCGAATACATTCAAAGTCCTTGCTTCAGAAACGTGAAAAGCAATGTCATTTAAAATGAGAAATTAAATCATTTACAAATCCTGCTGCATTTCCCAATCAAACTCCGGCATGCAGTAAACACTCTTTGTTGTATGTGTGTGCGAACTAAGACACAGACACACATTAGTTACAGGAGCCAGGGACACACTGTTGTGGCGTTTTATGAAGTAATAGTTCTCTTTAACACCAGTGTCCTTCAGGACAAAACATAGCATGCAGCAAAGCAGTTCAACGATCCTGAGAGAGTCACACATTTAATTTGCCCAGTTTGATTCGCCGTCACAGTAAATAGTCCACAAATGAAAGACTCTGGACCCCAATTCAGTCATTTATTTGCAATAGTTTTAGACAAAAATTGGTTTGAAGAAAATTAAATTGCATGGGTTTTGTAATCAAATGAATACTCATTTATTGACCGTCTCGGTATCAAATGCAGACTTACATTTACGTAAATACATCAGTTAATTCTCTGGCTTTCATTCATGCAACATAGTACAGACACTTTAGCTTGATATAAAACATTTTATGCAACAAAATCATGGGATTAAAAGGCATAATTAAAACCTGATACAAATCAGTTTAAGTGCCTAAAAACTCTTCAAGTGCCTCAAAACTAAAACTGATCTTTGTGCCAAAGATCACTGGAGAATCCGTCGACCTTGCAGATGCTTTTAGAAACCTTCACGAACCTGCTCTTAATCTCCTGCAACTGAGGAAAACACTCATGCATTTAGCAGATGCTTCCAAAGCATCTTACATCAGAACAACAAAAGCAATGCATCAAAGAGCCATGAGAAGAGAAATGCATACCACATATTTAAGCGTTCATCATCTCCATGAGATTGGTCTCACCTTGCATTGGTCAGTAACCTCCTCCAGAATCCGTATGACGGCCTGCATCACCGGAGCTAAAGTCTCCTCGCTGTAGCCGGTGTAATGCTGCAGACTCGCGCTCTGCCAAAACAGTCATGATCAAGATGAAACGTTCACATGGTTTCGCTGCCAGTGGATTACTTTCAATATTTCACAGGCTTCCCTAAACGCCGGTTTAATACTCAAACAGACGTGTGCTTTGCAGAGCGTTTTACACATGCAGATCAACTACTCTCACACCGAGCACCACGTTAATGACAAATACACGGCTGAAGGCTGAGGGGAAGAGAAGGCCTCACCCACAGGCCACAGCCAAGAATCCTCTGAGATGCTGCAAACGCAGCCGCTGCAGTGAGAGACGGAGGAACGTGGACCAGATCATAGTCCAGAGCGGACACTTCTATCAGGAACGACGCCAGCTCGCGTTCCCTCGCACCGGCCTGCAGTCGACAGCAGCAGGAGAACCAATCAGTGCGTGGCTTTTCATGCCAAAGAGAGCAGAACAAGAGTGAAGGTTTTAGATCCAGTCTAAATAAATACTATTTTCCTGGAAATCTGAAATTCTAGCCAAAATAAAAATTGACATGACTGGAAATGTGTTTTCTTTTTTTAATTGCTGACTTTTTTCTTTTAAAGTGAGTGAGCAAAAGATGTGCAATTTTCCATTCCCATGCTGCCACAGAGAAGGATCTGTTGCAACTCAAACATGATCATTCCGATATTAATCAATCTTTAACACAAAATAAAATAAATCAATTAATAAAAACATTCACTACAGTTTAGAGTCAGTAATATTTTAGAAAAATACTCTTCAGCAAGGATGCATTAAATTGATCAAAAGTAACAGTAAAGACATTTATAATGTTACAACAGATTTCCATTTCAAATAAATGCTGTTCTTTTGAACTTTCTATTCATCTGTGAATCCTGAAAAATAAAATGCATCACTACTTACATAAACATATTGGGCAGTTCATTGAAACAAACTGTCTGAAAGAACCAGTTCATGGAAAATAATCAGATTTCCCTGTTTGCCAGAGGATTACAAGTTCAGTTTACTGCACAGACTGATTGTTTTGCTTCATAAGACCTCTATATATATAATCAGGAGCCATAGGTGGTAATGTTGTGTTGCCTGATATGCTTTTTTTGACCGCCAAGGACCACAGTTTGAGCTAAAAAACTTCTTTATGGTTCTACTGAGGGAAGGAAGAAAAAAAAAAAAGACATCTTTGATGGCCTGAGGGTGAGGAAATTAACAGCAAATTTTCATTTTTGGGTGAAATATTGCTTTTAGGGTCATTAATTATTTATTAATGATTAGAATGATTTCTGAAGATCATGTGACACTGAAGACTGGAGCAATGATGCTGAAAATTCAGCTTTGATCACAGAAATAAATTACAGTTTAACAGATATTCACATAGAAAACAGCTGTTTTAAACTAATAATTTTTCACAATATTACTGTAATTTTGACCAAATAAATTCAGGTTTTGAGAGCAGAAGAGACATTTTAAGAACGTCTTACTAACCCCAAACCTTTGAGCAGTAGTGTATAAATCACCTGTCCAACCTTACAGGCCCTCTGTAGGAAGAGAGTAGGAAAAGGTCGGCCGAGGCTGTCGTTTAAGCGCTTTAAGATAGTTCTCTCCATTCTCCGAATGTCTCCACAGCTGTATGTGCCATCCGACACGAACACAAAGTCTCCCACTGTGGGCGGGTAAATCTCCTCGTACTTTGATGCCAACAGCATTGCAGTCACACACACCAGCTGCAAATACTTCTTGGGCACCGGGTTACTCTTTAAAAACATTCAGACGCGACTGAATGCATTAGAGTGCAAGCAAATCTACAAATATCAGACCTCATTAGTGGACTGACACACTGAGCAGCGCTCATTCAGGGCTCTGAAGATCAATATGAGAAGACATCACCATTACTGACACATTTAAGAGGAGAATTGAGCATCGCAAACCTGAAGGAAGCTGTCGATGATGCTGACGGTCATGAGGAGGGTCTCCTGCCGCAGTTTGAACTCTCGCTGTACCTGCATGAGCCAGTCGATGGTGACCGCTCGCATGTCTCCGCTCACCTCCTGACCTTCCAGATAACACGGCCTGATGGCCATCGCAACCTAGAGAAGCATGCATTCAAGCAAGACTAGTAAACACAAACATCAACCTTTATACACGGTGATGCATTAATCACGGGAACCTTGTAAAGACACAATCATGACGCTCAATTAGTCAAGATGACAAACACCTGCATGATGCACGAGCGGCGCATTTCATGCATCAGTGCATTAAACTTGAGCCATTAAATTCTCTCTAAGCTAAAGATGTCAATGATTTAAAGGAACAGTAAATTTGCTGAAAACTTAATTCGAGTTTGTTTCTTCATCAGATTTGGAGAAATGCGTCATTGCATCACTTGCTCACCAGTGGATCCTCTGCAGTGAATGGGTGCCGTCAGAATGAATCCATTAACATCTTGAGAAGACCAAAGAAACAAATTCATCTTTAAGACATTTTTAACTTTAATATGTTGCTTCAGTCTAAAATTCATAATAACACTTCCTCCAGTGAAAAATCCACATCAAGATCCAGCCACATATTTGTTTAGAGATGTTTTGGCTTGTAAACGCTGCTTGATCTGTGCAGATTTCTCTCCTGATTCACACCAGGCCATTTTTTTTCGTTAAAAACGTCTTAATGCTGGATTTGTCTCAGCTTTTGTCTTCTCCAGATGTTAACTGATGGACTGGAGTGCTGTGGATTACTTGTGGATTATTGTGATGTTTTTATCAGCTGTTTGGACTCTCATTCTGACGGCACCCATTCACTGCAGAGCATCCATTGGTGATCTACATCTCATCTATAACTCATCCTAATCTTGGATGGACTGAGGGTGAGCACATTTTCACATTTGGGTGAACTGTTCCTTTAATGCAAAGTAGTACAAGTCATCTGGACTGCATGCATGACAATTGTGCTGCTTTACCAAGTTTCTCAATCTTTAACCCCAACTCTTTGTGGTCTCTTCACCTCGAGCTGTTGTAAATAAGCGTAGATGTCACGCACATATTCACTGCACATCTGAGCATCACCAGCGTCTGCAGAATCCACATCTGGGATGTTGAGCAACAGGCAGGAGAAAGCCGGAGGAGCATCAGCCCGTTTCTGAAGATGCTCAGAGTCCTGACAGACATCAGTGTGTGGAACAGGCTGCTGAGAACAACAAAATGAAAAAGACAGACACACACGAGGACCTTGCAATAATGAATAGAGCAAATAATAGCATACAAACACACAATGCCGCCTCAATTTATGTATACGTCTAGCTCATATGGAATATTTCTCACCTTGACCGTGTCACACACCTCAGAGATGCTCTGGTTCTCTGTTGAAGGAGGTTTGGCTTTTGCATGCTTGGTTTTCGCATTGTCCTTCTTTACACGTGCAGCTTTGTGTCTCTAATGAAGAAAATGTTATTCACAGCCAGTGTTGGGGAGTAGCTAGCTACATGTAATAGAATTACATCATTTAATTAAATGTAACTGCAATCTGTTACAGTTACTGAGAAAAAACGTGTAATTAAATTACAGTAAAATTCATCCCAAATTGCTCTAAAATCTAACACCACTGTTTCAGGAGTTTACACGCAGAATAGGACATTCCTATTTGGGTAGATGTAAATCCTTTATTTTTTTAAGATTAACTTTTGTTTCCAAAGCATTGTTAGATGCCAATGTTTCTTGTCACAGCTGTGCAAGGATTTGCACAAAAACAGTCTCATAACTATATCTTATGATTTTAAATCTGCATTTAACCTCAGAACAATCTCAAAGTAAAAACACGTGCTAAAGCCTGACTTTGTGGTGGCTGTGCTTTAAAATTACAACTTATTAAAATTACATTATTTTGTAATCTTAATTCAAGTGATGAAGGTTTCTGCAGTTTGTCGTTTCTGATGAGAGAATTGGCCAGAGAGCAGAATTCAGTCAGAGAGCGCGCGCATGACTCATCTGAACGCCTCTGATTGGTCATTGCATTCATAAGCTCAACAGAATCGTGTGTGATTGTTTATAACGGCTCAGCGCCAGCCAGTGAATGCAGATTTGAATTTAGCAGCTGATGATGTGCTGCACTGAACGTTCTAATCACGCCGGTGTTATAAAAAAAATATTATTCGGTTATTTTTTGTCTTTTGGAAGTTGCATTCAAAATCCACTTGGCTCAAAAATCTGAGGGGTCACGTGCCTCTGCACTTACTCCCGATTTCTCTCAACATGGCAACACCAGAGCTATCAGTCAATACGCGGGAAACAAAGAAACTGCTGTTACTTATTTGAAAAAGTAACTCATATTTCCTTCTAAATTAAAAAGTAATGCGTTACTTTACTAGTTACTTACAAGTAATCTGATTACATAACTCGCGTTACTTGTAATGCGTTACCCCAAACACTGGTTACACTACTTATTACATTTTAAGTAGTGTATCTTGTAATCCGTAACCTATTGCATTTCCAAAGTACCATTCCCAGCACTGTTCACACACACCGCAGCAGAAAGAAAGAGTTTGGCAGTCATCAGGACAGCTCAGGCTACCTTCGGCTCATCTGCAGCTCGGTGAACACCGATCACATTAGACGCGTTTCCTAACGGCGCTCTGGAGCGCAGTGAATACGGCACCGGCTCCGGCTCCGGCTCCGCCGCCTTCCGCCGAGCCAACGCCAGTCTGGAGCTCGCCTGCGCCAACAAGTGCAACACAGATGAGCCGCCTGCATGTACAATAACTCTCCTATCACTGAATAAACACTGCTAACTCGCGTAACTGGAGGGGACATTGTTTTTTCCACCGAGAAAATACGACACAAACCAATTAAAATGTGATCTGAAGTTTACAAGCGAAATTCCGCGTTTGCGCGACGCTAATTAACATGATAGACAGCAGCTGATTTATCACGCGACTTCACTTCCCACCAGCGCGTGACTGTGACATAATTACATCAACAAAATCATGTCTTATAAAATGCTTAGTTTATCAACAAGTTGCTTTGAGCTTTTGATGTGCATTGTAAAAATATATTTTGAATTTTGATAAGAGTTAGAATTGAGATAGATAGATAGATAGATAGATAGATAGATAGATAGATATACATTATTTATAGATAGATAGATAGATAGATAAATAGACAGATAGGTAGATAGATAGATAGATAGATAGATAGATAGATAGGTAG